CAACATTAGTGGGTATGCTCACCACAGAATGATCATTCAAAATCAAAAGGGCAACATTTACATAAGGACAAAGTTGAGAAGGGACGGGAAGGTGTTGCCTAGAGTATATGATTTACTGAATATAAAACTGATGATCTTGTTTGTAACTCTTCACTCAATTCACAATAAAAAGTTAAATTTTTTTTAAAAAAGCTCAAGATGTCCACACTGTTCCACACCAGTTCACAGTCCGCCCATTTTTTCTCTCTCACTGCTCCTGTTCAGCTTCCTCTTCCAGTTGGCATTGTCTACCTGAGTGTCGTATCCTCTGGTGCTCAGGGCTCCAGGATCACTATCTGCATTTATTTCACTTGGTCCCCTATCTTTTTTTGCAGAGGGTCTGCTTAGCATGTCTGCCTACTCTGTCATCCTACTTGGAAGGCTTGATTTTCCCCCATTTTTCTTTGTTTTTTCCCTTGAGACTTGGAAAGTTCAGCTGTTTTATTTTCTAGTTAATTTACTCAATTTTCTGTTTGTTCACCTCTATTTTATGTGTTTCTCTTGCTTTGTCCAATTCATTTGCTTTACTCTTCTTCAGTTCCGGTCATTTATTTTTTCTCTGTTTTTGTTGTTTTCAATTTCCTTGTTGAGCCTTTTATTTTGTTCCTCAATTTCTTTCCTGATTGCTACTAATTTGTTTTCTGTATATATTTTGTTTTCTTTAAACATATTTAGCACCAGAGTAAAACATTAGCAATTGTTTGCATTAGTCTGGCCTGCATAGGAGAAATTTTACATTGAATTAGTCCTTCTTCTCTTGTAATTTGGTTTGTTTTACTACTTTTAGTTGAGCTTGGGTGATGTTATCTTTTATAGCTTTCACTGTACATTTTGTGTTCTGGGTTTTGTGGGACATGTTTCTGATTGGATGCTCTGCCTGCCAATCAGAAGATCAGAAGAAAAAGATGCAGCACCCTGCCTCCACAAAGAGTCACAGCTCTGGGGACTCTAGGGCACCTGCCCCCAGCCCCTCAGGATTGCTACAATTCATAACTGACCCAGTGGCAGTGACTTAGTAGCTTTTCCTAAGAACCACTAGGGCACTTTTTTTTTTTTTTAAGTTTTTATTCTGAATTATGTGGGTTTACGTGGGAGAACATCAGTTTTACATTCATCCTATTGTAGTTCGTTTTATTGCATTGATTACAATCCCCTCCATGTATCATCAAACAACGAAAGGGTACACTCCACAGGCCTGCCCCACTGGCCATCAGCACACAGCCCTTCTCCCTCCCTGAGTCCAGTGTCTCCATCTCTCCAGGTCATTGTCTCTGCCTCCATTTCTGGCGTCACTGCTTCTCTGGGTAGGGTCCCACATTTCCGCGCTTCTCACTTGATGGCCCCTGAGACCTCCGCTCCAGGACTGCAAAATCAGTCAGTCCCCTCCTTTTGTTACAAAATATATATCTTTACATTTCTGACCCTCACAGTCAGTCCTGATAGCAATTATTCAGTATTGTACCACATGAGACCTATTCACATCTCCTTTCATCAGTCCCACCCAGACAGACTGGATACTACTCAATGGAGATTCTACCTTCCTCCATGCCCTCTGGATCTAGGCTCCCTCTTGAAAGCTTGTAAGCCAGTCACTTCTTGCCTTTGTAGCACCCCCATTATGGGTAGCCAATGTCTAAGTTGCCCAACCCTGTCAAACCTGCATACTGAGGGGCTGGGAGTGATCCTCGCTGTAAAGATTTGTTCCCTCTTTTGAGCTACTTCATTCATAAGCATAGGTAAAGTTCATCAAATTGTAGCAGGTTACTCTCTTTTTCCCTCTTCTTTCTTTTTCTAGTCGAGTTCTGATCATCCAGCCATTGAAGTCAGGTCAAGTAGGTACTGTCTGCAAGTGTGGGTGTTCTCGTGCATCTCCCCTCACTTCTTATCAGCTGGATGCTTTACTCTCCGCTCTAGTCCTCTGTGAGCACGTCACCGCCTGCCTCTGGGCACTTTTATTATTAGGTTTCGCCAATGCTGATTCAGTTCTGGATGCCTTATCTCTAAAATTCAGTACACGTGTGGGAAGGGGGATTTAGCTGGTCACAGACTTTAAGTGGGTCTCAACTTTCTTGAGGTGAAAATGGGGGGCTCTCTCTCTCATTCCCTCATGGACACCCCTTACAGGCTCCCTGGAAGGTAGCAATTTCCCTCTGTGTCACTGTCTGCCCCAAATCTTCTCTTTGCCCTGTGTCTTTAGCATTTCCGCAGTCTGATAAGCCACCGGTCTTGGGCCTCAGCAATATTGAGTAGCACTCTTTGGCAGTGTGATGGTCTCCCTTAACCCAGTCCCAATTGCAAGGCCACTGAATTACCACAGCCAGCTTCCTCAGATCAACTCCCATTCTGTGCACCCAGTTCGGGGTGTTCCCCCATCCTATCTCACGAGTGAGTGCTCATGATGTTAGTGGGTAGGATTTCCCAGCCTCTGAACCTCCCTGCTGCTTCTCTTCCCCAACTTGTGGACTTACCCCGACTCTCTACCACCTCAATTCTCCAGAGTTCTGAGATCACAGTCTATGTGTGTTTTAATTCATTGTTTAGTGGGTTAATTGCTGGCAGAGTAAATGGAAGCATCTACTCACTTCCCCATATAGCTCCACCTCCCTAGATTAGTTTCTATTTGTCAGTCTCATTGAATGCTCACAAAGACCTTGGCTTATATCGCACAATTGGAGAAGAAAGGTTAACCTTTGTATCTTTGAGTTTCTTCTACATGTGAACGGTTCATAAAGCTTGCTTGGGAACTTTCTGTAGGGTGGTGGTTGTTCAACTTAAAGTTATATGTTCATTTTATTAAAGGAGACAGCCTAAGAGTTCCGAGGTGGTGTGTAGAGAGGCATTTTCAGGACTGGAAATATAGATTTGAGACTGCTAATCAGCAGGAGGAAAGGAACACACAGCATACGTGACTGCCACCCCTGCTCGGAAGTGAGCTGACACTGAGTCCACTTGCGTGCGCTTAGGATACATAGGACAGCGATGGAACCAAGAGCTCAAACAGTCTAATCCAGGGCCCACCAACTAGTATCTTCACGGCCTTTAGAATATTTAGTTTATTTGTAAAAATGGGATTAAAACCAGGAATTTATAATATCGTTTTAAGGACTGACTGAGTTAGTCTAAGTAAAAGGCTTAGAGCAGTACATGGCATGCAATAATTGCTAAGTAAGTGTGACCCAATTTAGGACTTCATTGTTCCTTACAATATGCACAAAAGAAAACACTAATTAAGCGACACTTTGTTTTCTCCAACTGAATGGTAAACACACACTATACACAAAACAATTTTAATAAAATACATATACAATTGAAATCATAAAGTAAAATGTTGGTAATCTGAATATGCTGTTCTTTTGAACATAGTAAAGTGAAAATTCCTCTACTTTCAAAGATAAATGAAAAATGAAAAGGTAAATGATAAACTGAAAATAACTGCAATGTATATGATTTGTTGTTGCTGTTGTTAAGTGCAGCCGAGTCGGTTCCGACTCATAGCAACCCTGTATAGGGTTTCTGAGGAGCGGCTGGTGAGTTTGATTGAACCACTGACCTTGCAGTTTAACTTGACCTTGCCGTCCAGTGCTTTATCCCATAGCAAATACTGTTAGTATTAAAAAGTCCAACAAATTTGTAAGGAAAAAAAAAGGAATATATCAAGAGAGAAGGTATATATTAGTTACCAGTAGTAAATGTAAGTAAAATATTGTACTGTTTTTCAATGGTGAAAACTACAAAGAAATAAATTTATAATTGCACTGTTGATTAGCATGCAAGGAAACATACCGTCGATGGAAGTGTGTCCTGGGATGCAAAAAGGACCAAATGAGAACACAAAGCCATTTCCGGTAACAAATTTGGAAAAATATATGTGTAGGTAAAGTCCTATTAAAAAATAAGAAAGGAAAAAAAGTCTGGAAGGAAATAAAACATGTTAATAGCAATTATCTTGGGATAGAAATTTGGGTTATTTTTTTCCCCAAAAGTGTTTTGTTATTTTCTAAGGTTTCTATAATTAATGAGAATCAGGTGGGGAAACAGTTAATCAATTAATGGACGGCGTCCGGTGACTCAGCCATTCCATCAGGTTCAAGTCCCCTTTCATGCGCAGCTGTTTCGGTCCTCTAAGCCGGGAACCTATGAAATAAGGTACTATATGAATTAAGGGCTAATATGCCTGACCTCAATGTTTTATTTTCAAGAGGGAATCCGAGAACGAGGTAGCCTTTGGACGCAAATGGCCAGTTTCCTTCTCTGCTTTCGAGTTTACCTCTTGGTAAACTAGGACAATGTTCTTTTTCATTATCAGTAGGAGGGTAGGGAAGGAATGTTAAAACCGCAGCCTTGCCACACCACTCTTCCAGATATGCTTCCCCAAATGTACCCTATCCAATTTATGGAAGCTCCTACGTGATTAACAAAACACTTTGAATGTACAAACCACTAGAGGCAAAACCGGATTCCAAATATAGCTAAAAGGACTGTATTTCGGCAAAGCAATATTAAAATTTATGTATTTAACCTTCACAATGTATTCATCAAGGACCTTTGCAGATCAGGTCAAATATGGTAAAAAGCACGTCTCGAGCCAGCCAGGAGTCGAACCTAGAATCTTCTGATCCGTAGTCAGACGCGTTATCCATTGCGCCACTGGCCCCGCACTGTTCAGGGGTTCACTACAAGGGCTTATTACCACTTACGCAGTTTTACGCAGCCTCAATAAATGGTCACACGACAGCGTTCCATTTCTGACAGTGCACGGAGCACAGCAATTCTCGATGCCCTACCTTTCTTCCGCAGTAGCGTTCCGCCAATCTGCAGAGGCGACGTCACGGCGCCATTTGGCGCGCCCCAATCCGTTGCGTCGGAAAGCGTCGCTTTGCGTTGGCTGTCTCGCACACAAAATTTGTCCGCCGCTGTCTTCCGTTCTCCCGCAACCCGGGGAGAGGAAGAGAGGTGGGACCAGACTGAGCGCTGCAACCTTCGTGCCGGGGTGACCAGTAACGCCGTAGCCGAGGTGGCGGCGTGGGGCGGGGCAGGTCGAGACCGGAGGAAGGAGGTGGTAGTGCAGGATGGCGGCGACAACCTATGAGCATCTGAAGCTGTGAGTTCCGTGGGCTGTGGACGGTTGACACGGAGCATTAGGGGTGGCAGGCGGGGCGGGACGGCAGGTGCTTGTGGCCGGGCTCCGGGAGAGCTCCTGGGCCCGGGGCGGAGGGTTGGTGTAGGAGTCCTGGTCCTCACCTTCCTGCCCGACTCGGCCTCCCCGAGGCCCGGACCAAAGTGACGGCCTCACCGGCCTTTCTCCGCCCTGTTCGGCCTCGGTGTCTGCGGCGAAAGAGAACGGAGCCCAGGGCTCCTCCCCACTTTTCTGAGAGATGCAGGCGGCTACGTTTATTTGGATGGCTTGCTAGAGAAAGAGCGAAGTTGTTTCTTGTTTAATGAAACCGTAGCAGCACTTGGGAGTCCCCAAGTCAGAGAACCTGCCTGTCACATTCTTATCTAAGCATCGACCAGCTTTTAGGATGTAGAAACAATATAAAGCACACTCTCTTGTCCTGAAGAGCGTAACACTATTTCCTTTGCTTTAAATCTTTCTCAGCTGCAGCACAAAGCAGGTTCCTAAGGCCGTGTTGATAGCCAGAAGTACTTTCTAGAATCACGGCTCTGTTGATTGGCTTTTCCGTAAAGCCAAGTCCCTGAGACTTTGAGAAACAGCCCTGGTTCTGAGTTGTTAAAAGAGGTTTTGAGGACTTTTGGTTGGTCCTGCATAAATAAAAACATGCGTTCCCCTTAGCGTTACCACCAGCCCCAACACTTTCTTGTCTATGCTTTAAGCAAATCTTTGGTATAGCTTTGTTTTTACTCAATTCTGCGTGTTTAATGCTTCATTTGCACGTAGGATGGTTGAAAATCCGGGTACTGTAATCTGGTAATGCCTTTGGCGGCAGCAGCAAATAAAATTTCTGAGAAGCAGATCTATCACTGAACAAGTTAAAATATCTTGGTACGTTGGTGTCACATTTCCTTTGCAGAGAAATGAGAACATTAAAACGTTGTTTAAGTACTTCCTTATGCTTCCCCAGAAACCCAAGCTCACTAGTCACTTTCTGGAAGTTTCAGTGTCAGGTTAGGGCTATAAAGTTGGAAGATAAGTTGTCTGCTTGACGCTAGGTACTTTGCAGAAGAGATGATGATTACTTTATCATTGGTCCACTCTTTACTGTAATTTCCTCTGAGAACTCCAACTGCACGCGTCTCTCCACATTTTCCCTTTGCCAGATGATCACCTTGTTGGTGAAGGAGTGACTAAGGTATTGGCAGGGCCAGTGTCACGTGTGTTCTGCTGGGTAACTAGGTTATTGTTGATCTGATAGCTGCTGAAGAGTTAGCCGGATTCTATACCACAGCTCAAGTGTATTGAAGCAACACAGAGCCTTGGCTTGATGCAGCTTGGCGTTAGGTTACATACAGAATGCACTTTGGTCTTTGTCACACTTGAGAATTCTAATTGTTTTTGAAACGGTCAGGACACTAAATTTTACCGGTCCAGACCTCAAAAAAAAAAAAAAGAACAAAATGCTCTGTATCCATAAAAGAGGAAAATTTGGCCCTTAAGTGGTTAGGATGATGCCTTTATATTGATCTTTCTGAGAAGTGGAAGATTTGTTTGGGTGGAAAAAATAAACTGGGTCAAGTGAAAGTCATTGTCTAATTTGTCAGATCTTTACTCTGTTCCGCTGAATTTTTAATGAGGGTTTTTTAAATGGGATACCACCTTTTTTTTTTTTTTAACAACTTTGTTTTTCTTTAGGGGTTTGTGAGTTGAAGAAGTCATCTCTGAGTTGGGGGGTTTTCTTAGTCTTTCCTTTCGGCTCTTGTTTTAAGTCCCTTGTTCAAGGTTTTTAGATGTGGCCTTTGAAATAAGGAACATTTTTTTGGATGCATTTCGAGGTGGGCATGGTTTCTGATGGAGACATAAACACTTTTGAAAATGTGCCTACAGATATGTTTTAAGAGAAATTCACACCAAAGATATTTTATTATGAAAGTATTGCTTCTGGGTTTGTTTAAATGTTGAGGTATTGGGGGTTTTAAGTAGTTTGTTGTACTTATCCCATCTTTTCCTCAGTTCACCTGTGCCTTTCTAGGAGGTTCACCTGCCTACACATCCCATTCCAAACCCAGCCCACTGCCAGTGAGGCAATCCCAATCCATAGTAAGCCGATAGAACACAGCTGAACTGCTTCACAGGGTTTCCAAGGCTGTAAATTGTTAAGGAAGCCGTCTGCCTCATCTTGCAAAGAGCCTGGTGGTCTTGAACCTTTCAGTTAGCAGCCTACCACTTAAGCTAATGTGCCATCCTATTTCCAGTCTCTGGTAGCGTAGTGGTTACGAATTGGGCTGCGAACCTTAAGATCAGCAGTTCGAAACTACCAGCTGTTTTGTGGGAGAAAGATGAGTCTTTCTGCTCCTGTAAAGATTTACAGCCTCGGAAACCCTGTACAGGGTCTCTATGAGTCGGAAGCGACTCCACGGCATTTAACAACAACATTCAGAGACCCTTTCCCTTTCTCCTCTCTGCACATGTCAAGTCACCTCCACAGTGCAGGTGAGAGGCCTCAGGTTTTTAAATTCTCAAGGCAGGCTTGGATTCAAATCCTGACCTTGCTATTTGCTTTGTGGCTGTAAGCATGCTAGTGAACCTCTCTGAATTTGTTTTTCGTCTGTAAAGTGGGAATCTTAATACTTCACAGGGTTATTGTTGTAAGGATTAAACGAGAATGCACGTGAAAATACCTAGTGTACACAGCTAACCTCTTCTGAGCTTATTTCTTTCCATATCATGCCCTTCTTTGATCTCCTATAACAGATTTTAAAAACTCGAATGTCAGTTAATTCAAAATGAGATATTACTGCCACAGACACTAGACACCCTGATTCCATATCACTGTCACATTCTGTCTCCTAGGATTGATTCACAGTGTGTTTCCTGTCTTACAAGGAGCTCTCTGGGAGCCCTGGTAGTGTAGTGGGTTACATGTTGGGTTGTACATAGCTGCAAGGTTAGCGGTGTAAATTTACCAGCCGCTCATTGGGAGAAAGATGAGGCTTTCTGCTTCCTTGTTGCACCCTCAGTATCCCTATGCAGGGTTGCTATGGATCAGAGTCACCTCGATGACAGTGGGTTTTTGATTTTACTGTCTCTTGGACAAGAGGACTGAAAACTAGAATAATCAGCCCATAGTACTATTTGAAGCGCTCACTTTACCACATCGAATTGATGAAATCAGTATGCTTTGCTTCTCCAGCCACATTGCAAATCTCTAGAACATATTAGGAACATCTACACATTTAGCGTGATTTTCCTGGCCCTCTAAATTCCTAGCAGCTCTTCAGTGAGTCACCTGAGTAATTGAAAAAAAAAATTTAAATACAGAAAATTACTGGCACTTCAAAAAGAAAGCAGTCTGGGGTAATTTGGATTGTATACTTTTGAAGCAGCCGCAACTTGTGCTATTTTACGTATATTGAGAGTGGCTTCCGAAAGTTCTTTGGAAAATGTAATTAAAAGAGAATGGAAGTTTTCCATGAAGTTCCCTCATATTTTCCCAATGACTCTGTGAGGTCACAGGTTGGTGTATATCCTCTATGGTTGCTGAGTACATCTAATAATTGCCCTTGGCCACCTAGGTCACTAAGCCAAGTCATGACAGAGCTGGCCCAGAGTCTGGTGAACTTGCAGTTGTGCTGCAGGGTTCTGGTTACGTCTTTTCTCTTCTGAGGTTGCTCTCCGTCCTCCGACATGCCACATAGCCAAAAGAATTGCTTACCGTTGAATACTGTTGACATGTGCATATGGGTTTTGTTTGTTTTTTTTTAATTTTTTTAAAGGTTTTTATTGTGGATTGAGTAAAAGTTTACAGGGCACATCATCAGTTTCACAGTCAACAATTCATATAACTTGTTTCATTACATTGATTATAATCCCCTCCATTTACCTTCAGTTAAAAGTATTTCTCTTTATCCACTTTAGATTTTTTTTTTAAAAAAACACACAAACAAAAAAACCCACTCAGGCATATATCATAAATTACATCTCCAAAGGGCACATTCTGCAAGTCTGCTCCTGGCCACCAGTTCTTAGTCCTTCTCTTCTTAGTTGATGAATCTAGAGTCCTCAGCCGCTCCCCCTCTCCATGCCCCCATCTCTACCTCCATCTCTGGTGCTGCTGCTTCTCTGGATTGCATATGGGTTTTTGATAGAGAAAACAGGCATTGATTTGTTCAGCATTTTAAAGTCAGGCCTTTTAAGCTTCTTTTAAGTGCTAAATGCCTTCCGTTTGAGGCTCCTTTTTTGCCTTTGAAGTCATTTACGTAAGCATGGATATGCTGGTAAATTTGGAATTGAAGAACAAGTAAAATTGCTGTATTGGAAAAATTTTGAATGTTTTTCTTTCTTTGGAAAGGACAGCTGAAATGTAGGTAGAAGGCTGGCAATTCTTTAGATACTGAATCAGACTGCAGCTTGCCTCTGAAGTGGTCTTGTTCCCTCAGAAAGTTACCTTTCTTCTTGAAAAGACTTCATAGCTGTAAGATCAGGGAACCGATGTGATAACAACCCATGGAGCAGATACAAGCTAAACTACATTGGGATCTGAAGACATCATATGGACTCTGTCCAGTACAAAGAACATTCACATTATTCTCACAGCTCTTTGTGCCTCCATTCTTTTACCAGCATGGTAAAAGGGTGTACAAAGCTAAGATTTCCTTATGACTTTGGACACACATCCTACAGGGTTTCTATCTAATTCGTTATGGTTGGAGACTTGAGTAGCTGTTCAAGTGCTGCACTGGGGTAAGAGGTGGTATGCTAACTGAAAGACTGGTCGCTGGACCCCATGAGCCACTCTCAGGAGAAGGATGAGGCTGTTGTGTGGTCCTGGAAAGATTTACAGCCTTAGAAATCCTGTGGGACAGTTCGGCTGTGTTCCTTTAGGGTCTCGCTGAATTGGAATCACCTCAGTGGCGGTGGGGTTTTTGTTGAGAGACTTTGGTGCGCGGTTCTTGTTGGAGAGCCAAGGTTGGTAATAGGTTGTG